AAGTACCAAGATGGGAAGAAAGTAGTATGAAGTACCAAGATGGGAAGAAAGTAGTATGAAGTACCAAGATGGGAAGAAAGTAGTATGAAGTACCAAGATGGGAAGAAAGCAGTATTAAGTACCAAGATGTATGAATGTTTAAACAGTTTATCCTAAACTAGCCCACTAATTTATTATAAAGTGAAAAGAACTTATCATATACTTACAAACGTTTCTGGTGCTTTGTATGAGGAGATGTGCTTGGTATTATTGGGTCATGCATGCTGAATAAAAGAAAAAAACAATTAATATTTCAGTACAGCCTCAAATAAAATAAAGCTGCAAATATTTTTCAACATACATTCAAGCATCACATTTTTTTACACTTTATATTAATATCTGTTCATACGAGGACAATGATTAGAAATGAAATAGAAAAAACAATTACGTGAGTCAAAAACTGAGATAAGGTTATTACAAGCATCATTAATACATAATTAAGAAAAACGAATTTCCTAAAATATTTTTAAAAAAGTTAAAATTATTATGATAAACATATTCAATAGATAAGAAAAACGGATTTAAAAATACATTTTCCACAATTTTTCCCACCAGTATTTCTCTTATATGTGCTTGATAGTACACTTTGGTTTTTCAAACTTTTTTTACCCATACTAAACGCACACAAAAAAAAATTATTATCTCTACAATGTCTCTAAGTTATCATGAAAACACCAACATGTTTTTCTTCAACAAACAACACTTCGATATTAAATAAAATACTACAAGCTAGATTCTTGGAATCTCATTTACGTTATCCTTAGCAAATATCCAAATTTCAAAAGAAAGAAATTGCCATTCATTCAAAACATCTGAGTTAGAAAGGTTTTGAAGAAATTCTAACTTTCAGCCGTAAACACAATATCCTGTGAAGAGTAGATAAGAATTAGTGCTATAAATATTGCATATTTTTCAAAATCTACATTAACATCAATTTGTGATGAAAGAGGGCATTACAAACACCATACACATAAACTGTGGTTCTGCACTGTAAGAATTATCTAAAGATACTTGTGAGAGGTAAAATTACTGAAAAGAACAAATCAGGGTTCATAATTACTTTTAACCAAGATTGTGTAATTCTGATGAGAACCTTCTTGTTCACATTTACAGAAATATTTATGAAATGTTTTTTAATCTAAGGATTTTACATAAGTCAAATTACAGGTTGTAATTCTGCAAAAGGAAATTAAACAACATACTTAGCGGGTAGTGTTGCAATATCTCTGATCTCGCGCGTCTTAAGCAAGGTAAACCCATCAACAACATAAAAGTGTTCCTTGCCAAATAAGAGAAGACCTTCACTGGTGTCTAAGCCTTGAATCCTTGCACAGCGAAACATGTAACTGATCTACAGTGATGGAAAAGAAGATCTTACATCATAACTTTATGGATTTATTTACAATTTATCATGGAAAGAAAATTTAAATTCATGGTAAAATAGCAAAAAACAGTTGGAGTGAGTCACGGGTTATTTCAGTTTTAAGAAAATGTGTATAATCATCAATTTAACCCTTTGCAGACTTTGGAGAATGTTACCGATTTCTTGATTTTTTGTTTTCTTCTCATAGTGAAAATATTTAACCAAATAGCCTAAAATATAAGTCAGATTTACTAAATACTATCTTGTTTCAACATAAAAAAAATTCATACATCTTGACCAGTTTTTCTATAACTTTGTGTTCCAAAATCTTGTTGTGAGACACTGTTTCAAAGAAAAATTATTCATTTTGTTTGTTTGTGCTGTGCCTATTGTAGGTTTTACGTCCTTCCGCTTACCACTAAACCTACCAGAAGGAAAAGGGAAAAAAAGTCTTTCTTGCAAACAAAATTTCTTGGTAGAATTTGAGAAGTACAGTTTAAAGGATTCCTTTAATACTGCACATATTCTTGTTAACTCTCTCTGCACCAAACTACACAGCTACAATCCTAACACTGTCTCTAAAAACATTCCTGAATAAATGTCACTACAGTACAATATCTTGTTCATTATACAATTTCACACAATGATTTAATGTATTCTGTCTCATGTTCTTGCCGATTGATATCTATAATAGTGCTTTTATGTTAATTTTACTGTATACTTATGTTTTACTTAGAGTTTTGTATGAAATATTTATGCACTTTCTTTTACTTAACAAAAATATATTGTAACAATTAATGAATTAAATACAATAATCTTTAAATCTTTCACATCAGCAGCTTGTAGAAAATAAAACATTTAATATTTGGAAAATTTTAATAATAAGGGAAATTAATAATCAAAATTTAAAAACTGTCTCAACCATTACCAACACTCCATGATGAATGAAGTTAAAAGAATAATTTGACATATTTTCCAAACAGCTTAGCAGAGGAGAGAAATAATAATCCAATAACAGACTGCATTAAATAGAAGAAGTTCACAAAATATTTTCCTTAAAATAAATTATTTATATTTTTTGGAAGATTTAAAAGAAAATGAAATTACTTTTTAATCTATTGTGTAACGTATGTATGTATGTCTTCTTACTTTTGGACAATGTCTTATTTTGTAAAATTCCATAACATAAAAATAATTATGGTTGGCACGTTATTTGATTTTTTTTTATTATAGTCTCTATCATAAATGAAATTTTGGATTGTTTTTTTTACTAATTTTTTATTAACTTAGTTAATAAAATAATAATAACCTTTCTTAATTGGAGAAAACCATTTTTATTAACTTAGTCCAAGAAGAAAACAAACCTTTTCTCCCTCCTCCAATAGTCTCAAAACACTCTGACTGTCGGGAGTTTCTTCCTGCTCAGCAGATCCTTCTGGCCCTAAATCCAGTGGTTCCTGTTCTTCCTCAATTTCACTAAAACTGCGGTTTGCTGGTGACCTTGGAAGAAGATGAGCCATACGTAGACCAAGAAACCCTAAATAATCAAACTCAACATTATTACACACACATTGTTAAACAAATGAAACATTTATTATTCAACACATCAACAAAGTATTCAATTTCATTTTTGATTGATCCCAAATCACACAAATTCAAATATACTGAGCACTGTTTAACTACTTGTATTGGTGTGAAACAAGTACAGTTATTTTTTTACATGTACATGTAAAGTCTACTTACTATTAAAGTTAAAAAAAGGACTTTCACATGGCAAAAGTATGATAAATCAACAAAAAAGTGAGTCACATAAACCAGGGAATGTTCCCCGGTGGGACAGTGGTAAATCTATGGATTTACAACGCTACAATCAGGGGTTCGATTCCCGGGGGACCCAGCAGATAGCCTGATGTGGCTTTGCCATAAGAAACACACACAAACTGGGAAACATTCATATTTCACTACGATACAAGTAAATCATAAAAATTGTTTCAAACAAGAATAAAAAAATCAGCAGAATAGCTTCACACAAAAACTATGCATTTCCAGCAGTTAACTATATATCTAAAATATGGCATACATTTCCCAGTAAGCAAGATCTAAAATCTCACTTTCTGTCACTTACTACAACATAACAGCTCCACTGATAACGTAACAACAGCTTCATTTGATAACGTAACAACAGCTTCACTTGGTAACGTAACAGCTGCCCTTACTTGATAACGTAACAGCAGCTTCACTGATAACGTAACAGCAGCTTCTCTGATAACATAACAGCAGCTTCACTGATAATGTAATAGCTTACTGATAACGTAACAAGAGCTTCACTGATAACGTAGCAGCAGTTTCACTGATAAAAATAACAGCTTCACTGATAATGTAATGGCAGCTTTACTGATAACGTAACAGCAGCTTCACTGATAACGTAACAGCAGCTTCACTGATAACGTAACAACAGTTTCACTGATAATGTAATAGCTTACTGATAACGTAACAAGAGCTTCACTGATAACGTAGCAGCAGTTTCACTGATAAAAATAACAGCTTCACTGATAACAAAGCAGCAGTTTCACTGATAAAAATAACAGCTTCACTGATAACGTAACAACAGTTTCACTGATAATGTAATAGCTTCACTTGATAACATAACAGCTTCACTGATAGTATACTAAGAGCTATGTAAACGTAAAAAATTAATTTTTAAAGCAGTGTTAAAATTATGCCTAATTTGAGTATTATTAAGCTCATCTAAAATTGTGATCATACAGGTTGATTATTTAAAGTTCTATTGACTGCAAAATTCATTTATTTCAACCTAAAATTTTTTACCATGAACCTCACACAATTCACTTAATTCACCCATCTAAAACAGTAAAGTATTTTTTTTCTCCTTTCAAGATATAACTACTACAGTTATTTGTAAAATGTAGTAAAATGAAATACTCTAGTACATGTACATAAAATAAAATATTGTAACTTATTACTGATAGTGGACCCCAAATAAACATAGCCTTAAAGCTATTACGATTAATAAAGAGTTGAAAAAATCAAACAAAGAAATACTGTATGTTCCCCATATATTTCATTTATTACGACCATGGTTTCGCCAGTAAAAGTATCAACAGGTTTATTGGTGAAACCATGTTGTAATGAATATTCGTGAAATGTTTTCCTCAATTCTGTAAGCATGGAGTTTCACCAAGTACCAACAGTTTCAAGTATTAATGATTGATAAATATTTCTGTTCCAAATGCAATTACATGAACTCATGAACATTTACAGAAACTCCACAGCCTGATTACAAGTAATTTTTCTCAAGATCAACCACATCCTCTCACACAACATACCAACTTCTCTTTCCTCGGCAACCTCTGTTTCGATAACTAGCTCTTCAGAAGCGATGCTGTTCAGGTCAGCTTTTATGTCTTCCTGTTCAACAAGGTATTGAGGCCTCCAACGATTAAAGTACTCTTTGCTGTCAAAACTTGTAGGAAGTTTATACTTCAGACTTTTCTGTCAATAAACATGTACAACATAAGCATGTTGACCCCAAATCTTAAAGCTCTATTATACACACAGAGAATTTCTGTTAACATAGAAACTTAATTTTATAATCTATAATTAATGCACATATATCTATACAACATTACAGAATTGAGGAAAAATACGAAGACAATTGTATGTTTTACAAAGACTTCATTTATCAACTAATAAATAAATACTTAATATATAAAGTAATTGTGAAATGTTCAAGTGTCTATTTTTCCCTCAATTCTGTAATTATGGAGTTTCACCAAGTACCAAAGGTTTGATGTACCAATTGTATACTACATTAAG